CCAACTTCGTACACTTTCAAGTTTCAAAGTTTATTGCACAATTTCATTATTTTAACAGTTCAGATATATCAATCGTGGGAGGGATACAGACAAGTACTGGATTCTAGAGCCACGATGTGACAGACAATGCCGAGCGAGGGATGTTTCACAGCCGCTATCGTATCTCGCGATCTCGAGATCATTTACAAGATTTTTCAGTTCAGTGATTACATAATAAACTCGTTATTGAACTTTACCTACTTGTTGTGTGATCATTTTGCATTTCGCTAGTGTCGGCATTCGTAACTTTGTAGATCCGTGTAATGTATTTCCGCTAAATTTCGTCTCCAAGCTCTGGTATTTATTTTGTCACATTTCGTGACTGGTGGCAGCAACCATTTATTTTAGTAGTTTACCTACTAGTAATTACCGACTAGTCTTTGGCCGTTCCGTAACATTATCAATCAGAATCACTGGATTGTCTCATCCTGGCCCGAGTATTAAGGACGCCGCCATAGAGCAGTAATATTGCCGAGTGCGGCTTTACAAAAAGCCAAAAAACAAAGGTACATACAGTAGCTAATAACATTGAAAACATTTCATGTAGACCTACAGCTACGAATTCTTCAGAGAAAAAACAACTTAAAACCGAAAGACTTCGCATGTGGTCGAAATCCCCGCTCAATGACTCCACGTCAAGCAGATGAAGCCGACCAGTCCTTATGCAAGACTAGTTTAGAATGAGGATCGTATGGTCAATTTTATGAATCTATCAAACACACTAACACAAGTTCAGTACATATTTATCTTATATTATGTATCTTTAGAGTTCGTATTCCTCATGTTTCGATCTGTACGTTTGAATATGCTAAGGCGGAAAGGGAAATGTCCATGTGGATAACAATGCACTGTTTAATCTTATCTTATTGTTGTACTAAACACACTAAGATTCGTAAGACAGAGAGGAAGATATGATGATACGAGGGGCGTTCAATAAGTTTTGCAACTTGGGAATTTGGGTTTACACAAACAATGTCAACTTGTGGCAGATGTGATACTAGTCATAACATCAGGTTGACACGTATCATAACAAGTTCCAGACACAACAATAAGTTAGATGTGATGGCTTCATTCATCTATGGGTGGTCACAATCATGGATTCTCTCAAACATGAACAACGTGCTGTAATAAAGTTCCTTATCAAGGAGGGATGCAAAGCAAAGGAAATCCATGATCGCATGTGTAAAGTGATGGGTAAGGATGCTCCTGACTATTCCACAGTTTGCCGTTGGTCTCTTCAGTTTAAAAGGGGTAGGGAGTCCATAGACGATGACCCAAGGTCAGGCGGGCCTTCAGATGCCACCCAACCGGAAACTATTGCTGCTATACGAGTGAAAGTATCTGAACTTTCTAGGGAATTCCAAATATCAGTTGGAACTGTTGTTATTCATGAGCATCTTGGTATGTCGAAGGTATCTGCAAGATGGGTACTTAGAAACCCCAGAGCTCAAGATCGCCATCAGAGAACTGAAAGTTGTCGAGACCTCCTGGATCACTATACTGCTGATGAAGCCGGGTTTCTTTCTCGTCTAGTGACCGGGGATGAAACATGGATCCACCACTGGGACCCAGAAACTGAAACTACTTTTGCATGACAACATCACTAGTCGAGAATTGCACAGGCCGCCCTATATATATGAATGTGGATTCGAACAGTTAAATCCCCCACCCTACAGCCCAGACTTAGCCCCCAGTGACTATTTCCTGTTCCGGCAAATGAAATCTGCCCTACGTGAAAGACGCTTCCAGGATGACGAGGACATAAAGGCTGCCACAGGGGCGTGGTTAGAGGGCCAATCTGCGGATTTCTATAAAAGTCGTATTAAAAGCTGGAAGGACAAATGGAATAAGTGTATTGAGGTGAATGGAGATTATATTGAAAAATAAAAGTGCAAAAGATATTCTGCGACTTGGTCTTATATTGAAGTTGCAAAACTTATTGAACGCCTGTCGAATATAAACACAATTTAAGCAATTGCATGTAAGGGTTGACTGGATTTAAGCCATTGTGTTTAAGATTTACTAGATTTGTCGGATTTAATAACCATCCTTACAGTTAAACAATAACGTGTATATCAAGAAATAGAGGGGTTTTTTTATAGTTTGTGCCACTCGTACAAATGTCAACTGTGTGAGGTCACTGGATGACATAAACATGTTATTTAACACATGATAAGACACATGTTGTCACTGAAGCGGCTTAGTCTTCGCCGGTGATAATTTTGGACTACAGGAATAATTGAATAGCTTAATGCATGCAGTGGTTTTTTTGTCCTTTTGGTTCAAGGTGAAATGTGTTGTATGCATGTCGTCTGTTTATGAGAAATATATCCCTCCCGCCGAAAGAATAATATATATTTTATCATCCTAAATTGCCAGATCTTGACAAAAGTGTTCAATTTCACCATGGTTTGAAAAACCACGGTCGTATATCTAAATGGCGGTATGCGTTCTCAAAGTGGACTGTTGAAACTTGGAATGGAAGCAACTCTTTGCTACGTTTTCTCTGTGTTGCGTGATAGGATTTCCCTCCACTATAGTTCCTATATAAATCGAGGAGCTGAGTTGATGTTTGAGAAAGCATGAAGACCTGCGACAATGGCAATCACACAGACGGGCCTGTCTGTTATTTGTGAAGTTCTGGGTTGGTGCAACCTTGGTCGTTAAAGTAGAAACAAGTTAGTACCACTTTTGAAAACCTTTAGCAGTTATCGCTATTAAATATAAACACCAGTGCTTCGATCTGCTGTGTATTTCAAGAAGATTCAAGACAGTGTGATTCATATTTTCATCCCCAGAAACCCCAAGTTTAATAAATGCATAGATCTTTTTTCCACAATGTGTTTCGGTTTTCGTGTTCAGCATGCCCTCAATATGTTTAAATTGTCAAATATTTGGTACAGATCGTAAAAGGCTTGAATAGGTATTCTGCAATGGGATCCTTTTTGTCCTCTTTTTTTCTTTGTTTGACCGTAAACCTTGAGATGAGAAACACTAACAAAATATGCGAGGACGCCCTTACTCAAACAAACTGCATGGCTTTAGATCGGTAATAATATAATATACGCCATGTCGTCTGCACTGGCCATAATAAACAAATACTGTACTAATGTGATACACGTTTTTGAGTAAACTATATGATATTCACTGTGCCACAATGATATACGAAAAGAATGATCATATCTTTGTTTGTCGTTTAACGCCGCACGCAACTATATGACGTCGGTTGATCATATCCGAGACAAGGCATCAGACGGTCAGGATATGTCCGGTAGGGGTGTTTGTGTGACATAAAATGTCGTCGCTTGATCCCAACAGACGTACATTAATAACGAACAATGAATCAAGATAAAAGTAAACACGACACGTTCATATCAAAATTATTTTAGAACATTCGAATCTGTGTTTTGTTGTATGACTTGAAAAAAGGTCTTCTTTGATAGGCATTTAGAACCTGGAGTACGAAGAAAGGATAAGAATTAATGGATGAACAACTTCTTTATTACAATTAACAGCGACGTTTCGGTGTAGATGCTAACACTGTTATCAAGCACGTGATATATAGAGTATGGTTGACAAGTATATATAGGGGTAGGAGGCAGTGTTTATACAGTGGAGCAGATATCAGATGTAGTTACACTGCAGTGGAGAAGCCTGTTATGTACACACTAGGGTAGTAATGACAATCATCGGTGGAGTCAGCGACATAAACAAAGGATGAAGCCAGTCATATAAAAAACAGGATTATGGCTGATTGGGGTCTTTGATGCGTTTATGGTACGCTGGGGGTATGTCGTTTTAGTCCACTGGTCCTTATAATGATAACATATAGCAAAACCCTTGAAATGGCACATTTCTACTAGTCCTTATGACAATTAACTATTGGGTAGAATGACAAGGACTACAGGACTAGTGCAAATTTCTAACGCTGTTGATTTAATCTCATATTTCGAATTTCTTTGTTCTATTTGCTTATGACTTAATAATCATCCTTAAGACAGTATTGGCCTGTTGTTTGTTTTTTCTATCTTGGAGCACCAGAAGAGTTTCGTGTTAAAACATTCACCGTAGATAGTTGTCACAGATCTTCGGTGTGTCGATCAAGCTACCTCGAGAACCTGCGAAAATAAACCACGCCATCAAAACAACGGGAGTGGTCTCCCCTTGTGACGCCGGACTTCAGCCAAGAACCAGCAACTTATTTATCGTTCCCTTCTGACGGAATCTGTATATTTTCGCGTTTTGACCGCTTGTTGGGCCTATTACTAAGGGGCACAGTTATTTAAGAGATGCATGTTAAAGAATTTCCTGATGGGTTAAATAAAAGATGAGTGTTGCGTTAAGGTGAAATATTCTCAGTTACTTACTACCTGTTATTCTTGTTTTTGTCAGCTGCTCAATGAAACACATGTAGACCTATTGATCCCCTCAAACAAATAGTATTTCCCTTATGGTAATCGGCGATTTAAAGAAGGATCTATGCTGAAGTGCTTTTTTTTAATGTGGACACCCGTAAAGATCCGGGTTAGAATAGGTCTTCAGATGCCAATAATTGCCGTAAGAGACGACTATAAGGGGCTCGCTGACTTGGTTGATGCATATCCTCGTATCACAATTGCGTAGATCGATGCGCACTGGATTGCCTGGTACAGACTCGCTTATTGACAGACCGCCGTCAAATAGTTGAAATACTGCTGAGTGCTTAAACAGCAAACAAACACACTTTTTACTGTGGAAAGAAAACCCTGAATTGTTTTCAAAGCTACAGGTTTAGAATAATATTCTTTATATATCCCCTAGTCATATTATTACACAATTGGGAAGATTCAAGTTAGTGTATCCAGATTTCCCTATCGTGATCAATCGTGTCATTCCGGTATAGGCAGTTTACGGAAAAGAGCGAGACGCGACGATCGCTGATGGATCTCCATGGCGACCCTTGCTACTTCCGTTATTCACAAACGACGCCATTTTGGTTGTTGCTTCTGCACTTTGTTTCCACGTCTGTGTTTGCATTTTGCTCTTTATCCCGCACGTATCGCACGTTCTGCACGATGTATGCCACTGTTGCTTTGGTTTATCATCAAGGTATCTAGTAGAGCCCTCAATGTTAATTAAATTTTGCTTATTATCCTAATCTCCAAGCCTTTAGTTTGATGCGTTTTGAACTAGGCCTAGAATCTACTGTAATTCCCAACTTGTGTCATAAAGAAACGTTGGTTACAGTAAAAGTGAAGAGAATGACGGACAGGCTCCTTGGCAGATGGGACATTTCATGTACTTCGCCGGTCCCTCGTATATTTGACAATTTGTGCTGTGTGTTTTACAACTAATCAAGTATTTGTCTTTTGTGAAGTGAATTTCAGTGTGTTTGAATGTGTAGAAAGCTTGGACACTGCCTCAGTAATGCATAACAGCGAAGTGACTTCTGTTATTACGAGTATTTGTACCAATTCAATTCCGATGTTCATGCTTTTATCATTACTAGTAACTGTTAAAGTATAATGAGAAATGATAAAACTAACAATAGATCTTTCACCATTCCCCCTTTCTTCACCTGGTTCTGGGATCAGCTCAATGTAACGGGAGTTTCTGAGAATAAAAACTGTCCGTTATAATCTAAAATATTCATGGGAGATGTGTAGGTTTTTGTATGATTGATACATTTTGACAGAGACTGTTGCAAACTTGAATCGTGTCCTAAACATTTGGTATCAACAAACGATCATATTAATCACTGTCAAAGTATCATGACAAATGATCAAAGTAACAATAGATCTATGTTTCCCCTTTTCTTCCCCTGGCAATGGGATCCACTCAATGTAACATGATTTTCATTGGAGTTGGGTAGGTTTTCATATTCCAGCTTTCAAACGAGGTGTGTTTTGTTTTATTTTTTTAAAAGGGGGGAGACCTGGTAAGGTATATATATGTCTTTCTTGTCCCAAAAGACCGTTTCACCTCAACCAAACGTTTTGGCACTGAATCCTGTAACGTTGGGATAATTTGATTAGGCTTCTACAAAAACACACCGTTTTAGTCTACACAATGAGTATGGATGTTGTTGTTTTTTTATATTATATTTATTCCATTATAGCCCAGGACGATCTCCACAGGTTGAGGAACTACCAGGTCCCCGTCTCCCAAACGACTCTTCCTGTCCCTGATCCTGTAGGTCATCATTGGGTTCAAGTTGTTTCAATGTCCCATTAGAAAAACAAATTCGAGAACCATTTTAACTGGCAATAGTTTGAAATAAGTCATATATGTTTATACATTATTTAGTCAAATATGAAATATTAAATAGTCCCAGTTCTCATTTCTAACAAACACCAAAAGAGAGGTGACTTGCAATGATCTACAACTCGCAAAGTTCTTATTTTTAAATATATGATTAAAATTACTTTCTGGTTCCGAATACATCGCCTTGTCTTATGATTATTGAAGTGTTTTTGTAGCTCTTATTTAAGTCAGACGGTATGTAGTACATGTATATCTTCACCATCTATTTGTTTAGATATCCATACCAAATAGATTACACATGACCGGAAAATGGTCGACTTTCACATGTTTTTTTCATACAAGCTTTTATATCAAATTATCGAATAATCCTGATTTCAATTATTAAGGACATTTATTTCCTCTCTGTAAGCGCCCCAGTGTCTTCACGATCACCGTCAACCCCCTCTCATCCCAGCCCGACCCCCAGACTTCCCTCCCCGCCCCCAGAGCCCGCCCTCAAGTTGTGGAGATAGATCTTGGTGAAGAATCCAAGCAGCCCCAGTCGTGCTCGGCCGTCCTTGTGTCCTGTGTGAAATACATGTTCCAGAGATTCTTCACGGAGAGATAGACTTTGGAGTTGTTTTCTGTGCCATTGTTGTGTGAACTACTGGTTTGGGGACCCTTTTGACTAACCATTTGGACTATTTGGGCTTATTTCTGAAAACATACATAATGTAATAATCTAAAAAATGAATATGATAAATGTTGTTGCTTAAAGAACGCGTGTTGTATATTGATATTTTCTGCATTCCCTGTTGTGAAAATTGATGACACTCGAAATCAAGAGATGGCTTTGCAGGTGATCGATGCGAAATCGTCGCTTCAACCTATCGTTATTTTAAGAGTCTATAAAAATGAGGATCGTGTGGATAAAATGCTCGATTTACCTCATATAATAAGTATTTGTTTACTTTGTCACTGTAGTTCTTGGACCATTTCGACGAACAATTTAGACTATTTGGCTGCTTGACATAATTCCGTTTTCATAAATTTTAACGTATGCAATACTCCCCACAACATTCCTTGAAGACCACTTAATGGATCGGGTGCTCAGACTCGGTGCCTTGATTCATCGCGTGTCATCGTTCCCTAGCGGCGTGGATCGTGGCCCATAACATTGTAACAAAAATTCCTATTTTATCAAAGCTAACAGTTACAGAATTAAGTATACCAGTAAACGCCAACTTGAGTAACGTCTGTCATGTTTACAGTCGCCATCTTGATTTTTTTACGTCAGGTTTGCGTATCATATGACCTTAGGTCACCCATAAATAGACCTGTCAAGGTTAACTACAACTGCGGCACTTTTGACTTTGACAAACAAGGTAGGGTTCCAGGGTTAGTCACAGCTAAATTCTATTTTCGTATTCTAAGAGATTTTAATTGTATAACATTTAATAACATGGCTAATATTAATGCTTGGTCTGCCCTCTAAGTATTTTATCGCGGATTGGTGCTTACTTACCTTTGCTGACATCCGGATGGCGTCTTGTTGACGTCTGCATGACAGTTCCGAGATTCCGACAGCCATTCCGAAAGCATTCCGACGGAATATTCCAAGATCGTAATGATTCGAGCATACAAGTAACAGTGACAGTAATCACAAGTCACAAGTGATTTGTCGTCGTATAAAATATTACAGTTCCTATATTTTATACATCCTATATTTATTTGTCATCGTCATGTCATTGTCATCGCGATCCAGAGGGTCCGAGGTCGTTCCGACCGGATTGTGTAAATTATCAAGTTGCGTGATAATGCTGCCACAGCCAAGTGTTTTTATCTACCGATGTTTACAGGGATCGTTCAAGAATCGATCTTATATAAATAACTCAAAGCTTTAATTAGGATTTGACTCCATATGATTGATGAAGATCCGGGGTAGAATATGTCTTCAGCATCCCATGCTTGCCATAAGAAGCGACTGTGCTTGTCTTAAGAGGCGACTAACGGGATCGGGTGGTCAGGTTCGCTGACTTGGTTGATGCATGTAATCGTTTCCCAATTGCGTGGATCGATGCTCATGGTGTCAATCACCGGTTTGTCTGGTCCAGACTCGATCATTTACAGACCGCCGTCATAAACGGTGTTAAACAGCAAACAAACAAACAACTTATGTTGACAGCTCTGGGTCACGCGACTTCCGGAATGTATTCATTACATTACATGGATCCAGTTCTGTTTTCAGCCAACTTCGTACGCTTTCAAGTTTCAAAGTTTATTTGTACAATTTCATTATTTTATCAGTTCAGATATATCAATCGTGGGAGGGATACAGACAAGTACCGGATTCCAGAGCCACGATGTGACAGACAATGCCGAGCGACCATGTACAAGATTTTTAAGTTCAGTGATTAATTAATAAACTCCTTATTGAACTTTACCTCCTTGTGTGATCCTTCTGCATTTCGCCAGTTTCGACATTCGTAACTTTGTAGATCCGTGTTATATATTTTCGCTAAACCTCGTCTCCAAGCTCTGGTATATATTTTGTCACATTCCGTGACTGGTGGCAGCAACCATTTATGTTAGTAGTTTACCAACAAGTAATTATCATCTTTGGCCCTTCCGTTACAATATCAATCTGAATCAAGGACGCCGCCATAGTTCAATAATATTGCCGAGTGCGTCTTTGAAATAAAAACAAAGGTACATACTGTAGCCAATAAACATTGAAAACATTTCATGTAGACCTACGGCTACGAATTCTTCAGAAAAAAATAACCACAACCCTTCGCATGTGGTCGAAATGCCCGCCCAGAGACTCCACGTCAAGCAGATCAAGCCGACCAGTCGTTATGCAAGAGCAGATTAGACTGAGGATCGGATGGTTACAATGTTGGGTCTCCAATAAAACAATTACTCCATGTTTTCCATGATGTAGTTATCTCTCACAAACCCCATGTATCATGAAATTCGAGGTTGAAATGGGACATTTGTACTCCCAACCATCACTCCTGCGTGTAAACATAATACTCTTGCTGTCGGTTTCTGAACGATTATTATAAAAGTTCAAAAAGTTCGATGTAGTGTGACCCCACACTTCCGCCAAACTTGTTTGACTATTAGAGATACTATATATTGATGTGAAATGGAAAAACTCTGAAAAACTTAATTACATTCTTTGTCCGAAATCTAACCTAAGTTAGATTCCTTCGACGGCCTTTGATACTTTGATATCTGGTATTTGTTTATGACTTCATACGAGTGAGTGAAGTCTTTATGCTATTTAAGCAAATTACCTCCCTGACATGCTGAATTTGATAGACACGGTCTCTTCACTGGGCACAGAAGCCTATTCCGGTCGGAACTAGGTCAGGTCGCATTCGGCTTGTGATGAAGGGTATTTATCCCTATCATTATTGCGGTAAACGTTCTAACAAATGTATTGCATTTCATGGTTTAAATAAAAATATACTGAACGAACAACGTATGTGAAGTCAAAATATGACATGTTATAAACAATATTTTGCTGAATAAAAATGCATGTACTTTCTATTCAATCAACCATAAGTCCCAGAGACTTTTAAAAAACATGACCACCGTGGAATAAACATAAGATAAAAGTACATACATACATACACATGTACATATATACATATATACATATGGGACACGCCTTAAAAGAGGGACGGTGTAACAAAACGATCAGTTAATAGTGTCAATATTAGGTGTGACAACCATTAGCGTTCGTACAGGCGAGACAGCGGCGGCGCATTGAAGACACATGCGATTTTACCAACTGAGCCAGCGTTAAAGGATGGTTCTGGTACTTTCGTTGGCGTCGTTTTATCTCATTCCAGACGTGTGGGAGAGGTCTGGCAGTACAGCAACAGCACGTGGGCGGGCATTTTCCTGCTTCGATATTACATGAGTGAGTGAGTGAGTTGGGTTTGACGCCGCTTTTAACAGTATTCCAGTAATATCGCGGCATGATATTACATGAATATATACAAATAAAATAATGCTCATTTGTATATCACATACATGTCCTCGAATGATCATTCACACATCATAATGCACCCACATTGTTATTTACAATGTATAACAACAAATCATAAGTAAATTCAATATAGTGTACATGGGAACACACCAGTTCTTACACTATATAGGTATGCATGAGTAGAAATAAATTAGTTATTTATTTCATAGTTTTGTCAAAACGCTTAGAGTAAGCAAATTAATCGCTTATCCCGGGGTCTGCAATAGCCCGAAGTGCTTTACGCACTCTTCCAAATGGCGGTGCGACTACCGCTTGGTTGCCTTGTCCAAAAGAAGCACGTAATGGAAGAGGCTCTGTATGATTATTGAGGACTTCTTTGAATGTGTGGAGCAGACTGGTCATGCTGGGGTGTTAGCTGCCCAGCTGATCCAGTCACGAATTATCATGTTGCTCTCTCAAACTCAAATTTCAAACGAAGCAATTGGTGCGATTGCAAGCGACTGAAAGTTAGCGCAGTACATCCCTTGCAAGCACCCTGTATCTCGTTTGGACTGTTCACCTGCTAAATTTCTTGTCGGGCTATAATTGAAAATTTGCTGATAGATGAGCCAAAGTCACCATTCACCTACATCATGGTAGGAATGCATATGATTAAATATTCAGCAATCAATTATGTAAATATGGTGACGGTAATAATTAGGTTTTTTTGTAATGATCATTGATTGCACTTCACCAAAAAGATCATAAAAATACCTAATTATTGCCGTCGCGGAATGGCTGTCGGAATTTCGGAACTGTCAGACGTCAACAAGACGTCATCCGGATGTCAACAAAGGTAGGTTAGTAATCACGGTCAGTCCGATTCGAGATCGACTCCCAAGTATGGTTGTAGCCACTCATCATATAGAGAGATCTCCGCGAACGGGATATCGCTGTGAGGAACTTGACAAACGACACCCATGACTGTAATCGTTTGAATTGTCTCCCTTTGACCATGCATGATAAAGAAATTGTAACGTCGCAGATTAAAACTTCTTTAATATGAGGAACACAACGTTTCGGAGTATATGCTTACTCCTTCATCGTTTGAATGAATGCCATGAAGCAGAGAGCATATATATGTACATCATTTGGTGACATGTTTTAAACAAAAATGACAAAATAATGCACTAGATTGGGCAAACTAACGGTATGAGTTGCAAAGGTATACCGTGTGAAGCGAAAGTTTGGTGTCCCCCGCCCTTATTTGGTAAAGGGTTATCTGGTTCAGATTCCATTAGTGTTCGGCCGCTGTAAGTTAGTTCAACATAACATTTATAATAGGGAGTCTATAGAAGTCATATGTACATATGTTAATATAGTTAATATTTTAAAATATTTTATAGTTTGACCAGCTTTAGCAACTATCGTTTTAGTCCACTAGTCCTTATAATGATAACATATAGCAAAACCCTTGAAATGGCACATTTCTACTAGTCCTTATGAAAATTAACTATTAGGCAGTTTAGCAAGGACTACTGGACTCGTGCGAATTTCTAACGCTGTTGATTTAATCTCATATTTCGAATTTCTTTGTTCTATTTGCTTATGACTTAATAATCATCCTTAAGACAGTATTGGCTTGTTGTTTGTTTTTCCTATCTTGGAGCACCAGAAGAGTTTCGTGTTAAAACATCCACCATAGATAGTTGTCACAGATCTTCGGTGTGTCGATCAAGCTACCTCGAGAACCTGCGAAAATAAACCACGCCATCAAAACAACGGGAGTGGTCTCCCCTTGTGACGCCGGACTTCAGCCAAGAACCAGCAACTTATTTATCGTTCCCTTCTGACGGAATCTGTATATTTTCGCGTTTTGACCGCTTGTTGGGCCTATTACTAAGGGGCACAGTTATTTAAGAGATGCATGTTAAAGAATTTCCTGATGGGTTAAATAAAAGATGAGCGTTGCGTTAAGGTGAACTATTTTCTGTTAGCTTACTACCTGTCATTCTTGGGTTTTTTCAGCTTCTGGATGAAACACAAGTAAACGTATTGGTCCCCTCAAACTTAGATGAATACAAATGGTATTTCCCTTATGATAATCGGCGATTAAAGAAGGATCTATGCTGAATTGCTTTTTTACTGTGGACCCCCCTCGAAGATCCGGGTTAGAATAGGTCTTCAGAAGCCCATGCTTGCCGTAAGAGACGACTATAACGGGCTCGCTGACTTGGTTGCTGCATATCCTCGTATCACAACTGCGTAGATCGATGCGCATGATTTCAATCACTGGATTGCCTGGTACAGACTCGAATATTTACAGATCGCCGTCAAATAGTTGAAATACTGCTGAGTGCTTTAAACAGCAATCAAACACACTTTTTTCTGTGGAAAGAAAACCCTGAATTGTTTTCAAAGCTATAGGTTTAGAATAATATTCTTTATATATACTCTAGTTATATCATTAAACGACTCAAGGGTATCCAGATTTCACAATCGTGATCAAGCATGTGATTCCGGTACAGGCAGTTTACGGAAAAGAGCGAGAGGTAACGATCGTTGATTGATCTCCATGGAGACCCTTGCTACTTCCGTTATTCACAAACGACGCCATTTTGGTTGTTGCTGCTGCACTTTGTTTCCACGTCTGTGTTTGCATTTTGCTCTTTATCCCGCACGTATCGCACGTTCTGCACGATGTATGCCACAGTTGCTTTGGTTTATCATCAAGGTATCTAATAGTGGTCTCAGTGTTAAATTATGTTTGCTTTTTATCTTGATTTCAAAGCTTAGAGTGGTACCTTTTGACGGATTGTATTCCCAACTTGAATTTGGTAACAATCAAAGTGAAAGAGAATGACATACCATGCGTATGCCGGTTTTATTTTTGTAAAATTTGTAAACTCCCTCAGTAATGTATATCAGCGAAGTGATTTCTGTTATTAACATGAATTGTACCAATTCAATTCCTATGGTAAAATCATATTAATCACTGTCAAAGTATCATGACAAATGATCAAAGTAACAATAGATCTATGTTTCCCCTTTTCTTCCCCTGGCAATGGGATCCACTCAATGTAACATGATTTTCATTGGAGTTGGGTAGGTTTACAGATCCCAGCTTCATATTAAGTGTGTTTTGTTGGGGTTTTTAAAAGGGGAGAGACTGGTAAAAGACCGTTTCACCTCAACCAAACGTTTTGGCACTGAATCCTGTAACGTTGGGATAATTTGATTAGGCTTCTAAAACACACACACAGTGTTTTAGTCTATATAATGAGGATGGATATGATGGTTTTTTTATTTTATTTATTCCATTATAGCCCAGGACGATCTCCACAGGTTTAGGAACTACCAGGTCCCCGTCTCCCAAAAGACTCTTCCTGTCCCTGATCCTGTAGGTCATCGTTAGGTTCAAGTTGTTTGAATGTGTCCTATTAGAAAAACAAATTCGAGAACCATTTTAACTGGCAATAGTTTGAAATAAGTCATATATGTTTATACATTATTTAGTCAAATATAAAATATTAAATTGTCCCAGTTCTCATTTCTAACAAACACCACAACAGTGGTGACTTGCAATGATCTACCACTCGCAAAGTTCTTATTTTTAAATATATGATTAAAATTACTCTCTGGTTCCGAATACATGGCCTTTTCCTATGATTATCAATCTCATTAAAATCAGATGTTAGTTCTCTAGCGGTAGCAAGAATGAAGATATGATTTTAATGAGATTGTATGATTATGGAACTGTTTTTGTAGCTTTTATTTATATTAGACGGTATGTGGTATATCTTCACCGTCTATTTGTTTAAATATCCATACCAAATAGATTACACATGACCGGAAAATGGTCGACTTTCACATGTTTTTTCATACAAGCTTTTATATCAAATTACCGATTAATCCTGATTTCAATTATTAAGGACATTTATTTCCTCTCTGTAAGCGCCCATGTGTCTTCACGATCACCGTCAACCCCCTCTCATCCCAGCCCGACCCCCAGACCTCCCTCCCCGTCCCTGCCCACAGAGCCCGCCCTCAAGTTGTGGAGATAGATCTTGGTGAAGAATCCAAGCAGCCCCAGTCGTGCTCGGCCGTCCTTGTGTCCTGTGTGAAATACATGTTCCAGAGTTTCTTCACGGAGAGATAGACTTTGGAGTTGTTTGCTGTGCCATTGTTGTGTGAACTACTGGTTTTGGGACCCTTTTGACTAACCATTTGGACTATTTGGGCTTATTTCTGAAAACATACATAATGTAATAATCTTAAAAATGAATATGATAAATGTTATTGCTTAAAGAACGCGTGTTGTATATTGGTATTTTCTCATTTTTCTGCATTCCCTGTTGTGAAAATTGATGACACTCGAAATCAAGAGATGGCTTTGCAGGTGATCGATGCAAAATCGTCGCTTCAACCTATCGTTATTTTAAGAGTCTGTAAAAATGAGGATTGTGTGGATAAAATGCTCGATTTACCTCATATAATAAGTATTTGTTTACTGTGTCAGTGTAGTTCTTGGACCATTTCGACGAACAACTTAGACTCTTAAGCTGCTTGACATAATTCTGTTTTCATAAATTTTAACGTATGCAATACTCCCAACAACATTCCTTGAAGACCACTTAATGGATCGGGTGCTCAGACTCGGTGCCTTGATTCATCGCGTGTCATCGTTCTCTAGCGGCGTGGATCGTGGCCCATAACATTGTAACAAAAATTCCTATTTTATCAAAGCTAACAGTTACAGAATTAAGTATACCAGTAAACGCCAACTTGAGTCACGTCTGTCATGTTTACAGTCGCCATCTTGATTTTCTTACGTCAGGTTTGCGTATCATATGACCTTAGGTCACCCATAAATAGACCTGTCAAGGTTAACTACAACTGCGGCACTTTTGACTTTGACAAACAAGGTAGGGTTCCAGGGTTAGTCACAGCTAAATTCTATTTTCGTATTCTAAGAGATTTTTATTGTATAACATTTAATAACATGGCTAATATTAATGCTTGGTCTGCCCTCTAAGTATTTTATCGCGGATTGGTGCTTACTTACCTTTGCTGACATCCGGATGACGTCTTGTTGACGTCTGCATAACAGTTCCGAGATTCCGACAGCCATTCCGACGGAATATTCCAAGATTGTAATGATTCGAGCATACAAGTAACAGTGACAGTTATCACAAGTCGCAAGTGATTTGTCGTCGTATAAAATATTACAGTTCCTATATTATATACATCCTATATTTATTTGTCATCGTCATGTCATTGTCATCGCGATCCAGAGGGTCCGAGGTCGTTCCGACCGGATTGTGTAAATTATCAAGTTGCGTGATAATGCTGCCACAGCCAAGTGTTTTTATCTACCGATGTTTACAGGGATCGTTCAAGAATCAATCTTATATAAATAATTCCAAGCTTTAATTAGGATTTGACTCCATATGATTGATGAAATTCTGGGGTAGAATATGTCTTCAGCATCCAATGCTTGCCATAAGAAGCGACTGTGCTTGTCGTAAGAGGCGACTAACGGGATCGGGTGGTCAGGTTCGCTGACTTGGTTGATGCATGTAATCGTTTCCCAATTGCGTGGATCGATGCTCATGGTGTCAATCACCGGTTTGTCCGGTCCAGACTCGATCATTTACAGACCGCTGTCATAAACGGCGTTAAACAACAAACAAAAAAACAAAATCATGCTTACTTATATCTTATGTTGACAGCTCTGGGTCACGCGATTCTGGAGAACTGGATTCATTACATTACATGGATCCAGTTCTGGTTTCAGCCAACTTCGTACACTTTCAAGTTTCAAAGTTTATTGTACAATTTCATTATTTTAACAGTTCAGATATATCAGTCGTGGGAGGGATACAGACAAGTACCGGATTCTAGAGTCACGATGTGACAGACAATGCCGAGCGAGGGATGTTTCACAGCCGCTATCGTATCTCGCGATCTCGAGACCATGTACAAGATTTTTAAGTTCAGTGATTACATAATAAACTCCTTATTGAACTTTACCTACTTGTTGTGTGATCCTTCTGCATTTCGCCAGTTTCGACATTCGTAACTTTGTAGATCCGTGTTATATATTTTCGCTGACCCTCGTCTCCAAGCTCTGGTATATATTTTGTCACATTCCGTGACTGGTGGCAGCAACCATTTATGTTAGTAGTTTACCAACAAGTAATTATCATCTTTGGCCCTTCCGTTACAATATCAATCTGAATCAAGGACGCCGCCATAGTTCAATAATATTGCTGAGTGCGTCTTTGAAATATAAACAAAGGTACAACCAAAAACACTTCGCATGTGGTCGAAATCCCCGCCCAGAGACTCCACGTCAAGCAGATGAAGCCGACCAGTCGTTATGCAAGAGCAGATTAGACTGAGGATCGGATGGTTACAATGTTGGGTCTCCAATAAAAAAATAACTCCATGTTTTCCATGATGTAGTTATCTCTCACAAACCCCATGTATCATGAAATTCGAGGTTGAAATGGGACATTTGTACTCCCAACCATCACTCCTGCGTGTAAACATAATACTCTTGCTGTCGGTTTCTGAACGATTATTATAAAAGTTCAAAAAGTTCGATGTAGTGTGACCCCACACTTCCGCCAAACTTGTTTGACTATTAGAGATACTATATATTGATGTGAAATGGAAAAACTCTGAAAAACTTAATTACATTCTTTGTCCGAAATCTAACCTAAGTTAGATTCCTTCGACGGCCTTTGATACTTTGATATCTGGTATTTGTTTATGACTTCATACGAGTGAGTGAAGTCTTTATGCTATTTAAGCAAATTACCTCCCTGACATACTGAATTTGATAGACACGGTCTCTTCACTGGGCACAGAAGCCTATTCCGGTCGGAACTAGGTCAGGTCGCATTCGGCTTGTGATGAAGGGTATTTCTCCCTATCATTATTGTGGTAAACGTTCTAACAAATGTATTGCATTTCATGGTTTAAATAAAAATATACTGAACGAACAACGTATGTGAAGTCAAAATATGACATGTTATAAACAATATTTTGCTGAATAAAAATGCATGTACTTTCTATTCAATCAACCATAAGTCCCAGAGACTTTTAAAAAAACATGACCACCGTGGAATATACATAAGATAAAAGTACATACATACATACACATGTACATATATACATATATACATATGGGACACGCCTTAAAAGAGGGACGGTGTAACAAAACGATCAGTTAATAGTGTCAATATTAGATGTGACAACCATTAGCGTTCAGGTACAATGTGTGAAGCCCATTTGTTGTGTCCCCGCCGTGATATTGCTGGAATATTGCTAAAAGCGGCGTAAAACCATACTCACTCACTCACATTAGCGTTTGTACAGGCGAGACAGCGGCGGCGCATTGAAGACACATGCGATTTTACCAACTGAGTCAGCGTTAAAGGATGGTTCTGGTACTTTCGTTGGCGTCGTTTTATCTCATTCCAGACGTGTGGGAGAGGTCTGGCAGTACAGCAACAGCACGTGGGCAGGCATTATCCTGCTTCGATATTACATGAGTGAATGAGTGAGTTGGGTTTGACGCCGCTTTTAACAGTATTCCAGTTATATCGCGGCATGATGTTACATGAATATATACAAATAAAATAATTGCTCATTTGTATATCACATACATGTCCTCGAATGATCATTCACACATCATAATGCACCCACATTGTTATTTACAATGTATAACAACAAATCATAAGTAAATTCAATATAGTGTACATGGGAACACACCAGTTCTTACACTATATAGGTATGCATGAGTAGAAATAAATTAGTTATTTATTTCATAGTTTTGTCAAAACGCTTAGAGTTGTCTGCAATAGCCCGAAGTGCTTTACGCACTCTTCCAAATGGCGGCGCGACTACCGCTTGGTTGCCTTGTCCAAAAGAAGCACGTAATGGAAGAGGCTCTGTATGATTATTGAGGACTTCTTTGAATGTGTGGAGCAGACTGGTCATGCTGGGGTGTTAGCTGCCCAGTTGATCCAGTCACGAATTATCATGTTACTCTCTCAAACTCAAATTTCAAACGAAGCAATTGGTGCGATTGCAAGCGACTGAAAGTTAGCGCAGTACATCCCTTGCAAGCACCCTGTATCTCGTTTGGACTGTTCACCTGCTAAATTTCTTGTCGGGCTATAATTGAAAATTTGCTGATAGATGAGCCAAAGTCACCATTCACCTACATCATGGTAGGAATGCATATGATTAAATATTCAGCAATCAATTATGTAAATATGGTGACGGTAATAATTAGGGTTTTTTGTAATGATCATTTATTGCACTTCACCAAAAAGATCATAAAAATACCTAATTATTGCCGTCGCGGAATGGCTGTCGGAATTTCGGAACTGTCAGACGTCAACAAGACGTCATCCGGATGTCAACAAAGGTAGGTTAGTAATCACGGTCAGTCCGATTCGAGATCGACTCCCAAGTATGGTTGTAGCCACCCATCATATAGAGAGAGCTCCGCGAACGGGATATCGCTGTGAGGAACTTGACAAACGACACCCATGACTGTAATCGTTTGAATTGTCTCCCTTTGACCATGCATGATAAAGAAATTGTAACGTCGCAGATTAAAACTTCTTATTATGAGGAACACAACGTTTCGGAGTATATGCTTACTCCTTCATCGTTTGAATGAATGCCATGAAGCAGAGAGCATATATATGTACATCATTTGGTGTCATGTTTTAAACAAAAATGACAAAATAATGCACTAGAATGGGCAAACTAACGGTATGAGTTGCAAAGGTATACCGTGTGAAGCGAAAGTTTGGTGTCCCCCGCCCTTATTTGGTAAAGGGTTATCTGGTTCAGATTCCATTAGTGTTCGGCCGCTGTAAGTTAGTTCAACATAACATTTATAATAGGGAGTCTATAGAAGTCATATGTACATATGTTAATATAGTTAATATTTTAAGATATTTTATAGTTTGACCAGCTTTAGCAACTATCGTTTTAGTCCACTAGTCCTTATAATGATAACATATAGCAAAACCCTCGAAATGGCACATTTCTACTAGTCCTTATGAAAATTAACTATTAGGCAGTTTAGCAAGGACTACTGGACTCGTGCGAATTTCTAACGCTGTTGATTTAATCTCATATTTCGAATTTCTTTGTTCTATTTGCTTATGACTTAATAATCATCCTTAAGACAGTATTGGCTTGTTGTTTGTTTTTCCTATCTTGGAGCACCAGAAGAGTTTCGTGTTAAAACATCCACCATAGATAGTTGTCACAGATCTTCGGTGTGTCGATCAAGCTACCTCGAGAACCTGCGAAAATAAACCACGCCATCAAAACAACGGGAGTGGTCTCCCCTTGTGACGCCGGACTTCAGCCAAGAACCAGCAACTTATTTATCGTTCCCTTCTGACGGAATCTGTATATTTTCGCGTTTTGACCGCATGTTGGGCCTATTACTAAGGGGCACAGTTATTTAAGAGATGCATGTTAAAGAATTTCCTGATGGGTTAAATAAAAGATGAGTGTTGCGTTAAGGTGAACTATTTTCTGTTAGCTTACTACCTGTCATTCTTGGGTTTTTTCAGCTTCTGGATGAAACACAAGTAAACGTATTGGTCCCCTCAAACTTAGATGAATACAAATAGTATTTCCCTTATGATAATCGGCAATTAAAGAAGGATCTATGCTGAATTGCTTTTTTACTGTGGACCCCCCTCGAAGATCCGGGTTAGAATAGGTCTTCAGAAGCCCATGCTTGCCGTAAGAGACGACTATAACGGGCTCGCTGACTTGATTGCTGCATATCCTCGTATCACAACTGCGTAGATCGATGCGCATGATTTCAATCACTGGATTGCCTGGTACAGACTCGAATATTTACAGATCGCCGTCAAATAGTTGAAATACTGCTGAGTGCTTTAAACAGCAAACAAACACACTTTTTTCTGTGGAAAGAAAACCCTGAATTGTTTTCAAAGCTATAGGTTTAGAATAATATTCTTTATATATACTCTAGTTATATCATTAAACGACTCAAGGGTATCCAGATTTCACAATCGTGATCAAGCATGTGATTCCGGTACAGGCAGTTTACGGAAAAGAGCGAGAGGTAACGATCGTTGATTGATCTCCATGGAGACCGTTGCTACTTCCGTTATTCACAAACGACGCCATTTTGGTTGTTACTGCTGCACTTTGTTTCCACGTCTGTGTTTGCATTTTGCTCTTTATCCCGCACGTATCGCACGTTCTGCACGATGTATGCCACTGTTGCTTTGGTTTATCATCAAGGTATCTAGTAGTGGTCTCAGTGTTAAATTATGTTTGCTTTTTATCTTGATTTCAAAGCTTAGAGTGGTACCTTTTGACGGATTGTATTCCCAACTTGAATTTGGTAACAATCAAAGTGAAAGAGAATGACATACCATGCGTATGCCGGTTTTATTTTTGTAAAATTTGTAAACTCCCTCAGTAATGTATATCAGCGAAGTGATTTCTGTTATTAACATGAATTGTACCAATTCAATTCCTATGGTAAAATCATATTAATCACTGTCAAAGTATCATGACAAATGATCAAAGTAACAATAGATCTATGTTTCCCCTTTTCTTCCCCTGGCAATGGGATCCACTCAATGTAACATGATTTTCATTGGAGTTGGGTAGGTTTACAGATCCCAGCTTCATATTAAGTGTGTTTTGTTGGGGTTTTTAAAAGGGGAGAGACTGGTAAAAGACCGTTTCACCTCAACCAAACGTTTTGGCACTGAATCCTGTAACGTTGGGATAATTTGATTAGGCTTCTAAAACACACACACAGTGTTTTAGTCTATACAATGAGGATGGATATGATGTTTTTTTTATTTTATTTATTCCATTATAGCCCAGGACGATCTCCACAGGTTTAGGAACTACCAGGCCCCCGTCTCCCAAAAGACTCTTCCTGTCCCTGATCCTGTAGGTCATCGTTAGGTTCAAGTTGTTTGAATGTGTCCTATTAGAAAAACAAATTCGAGAACCATTTTAACTGGCAATAGTTTGAAATAAGTCATATATGTTTATACATTATTTAGTCAAATATAAAATATTAAATTGTCCCAGTTCTCATTTCTAACAAACACCACAACAGTGGTGACTTGCAATGATCTACCACTCGCAAAGTTCTTATTTTTAAATATATGATTAGAATTACTCTCTGGTTCCGAATACATGGCCTTTTCCTATGATTATCAATCTCATTAAAATCAGATGTTAGTTCTCTAGCGGTAGCAAGAATGAAGATATGATTTTAATGAGATTGTATGATTATGGAACTGTTTTTGTAGCTTTTATTTATATTAGACGGTATGTGGTATATCTTCACCGTCTATTTGTTTAAATATCCATACCAAATAGATTACACATGACCGGAAAATGGTCGACTTTCACATGTTTTTTCATACAAGCTTTTATATCAAATTACCGATTAATCCTGATTTCAATTATTAAGGACATTTATTTCCTCTCTGTAAGCGCCCTAGTGTCTTCACGATCACCGTCAACCCCCTCTCATCCCAGCCCGACCCCCAGACCTCCCTCCCCGTCCCTGCCCACAGAGCCCGCCCTCAAGTTGTGGAGATAGATCTTGGTGAAGAATCCAAGCAGCCCCAGTCGTGCTCGGCAGTCCTTGTGTCCTGTGTGAAATACATGTTCCAGAGTTTCTTCACGGAGAGATAGACTTTGGATTTGTTTTCTGTGCCATTGTTGTGTGAACTACTGGTTTTGGGACCCTTTTGACTAACCATTTGGACTATTTGGGCTTATTTCTGAAAACATACATAATGTAATAATCTTAAAAATGAATATGATAAATGTTATTGCTTAAAGAACGCGTGTTGTATATTGGTATTTTCTCATTTTTCTGCATTCCCTGTTGTGAAAATTGATGACACTCGAAATCAAGAGATGGCTTTGCAGGTGATCGATGCAAAATCGTCGCTTCAACCTATCGTTATTTTAAGAGTCTGTAAAAATGAGGATCGTGTGGAAAAAATGCTCGATTTACCTCATATAATAAGTATTTGTTTACTGTGTCAGTGTAGTTCTTGGACCATTTCGACGAACAACTTAGACTCTTAAGCTGCTTGACATAATTCTGTTTTCATAAATTTTAACGTATGCAATACTCCCCACAACATTCCTTGAAGACCACTTAATGGATCGGGTGCTCAGACTCGGTGCCTTGATTCATCGCGTGTCATCGTTCTCTAGCGGCGTGGATCGTGGCCCATAACATTGTAACAAAAATTCCTATTTTATCAAAGCTAACAGTTACAGAATTAAGTATACCAGTAAACGCCAACTTGAGTCACGTCTGTCATGTTTACAGTCGCCATCTTGATTTTCTTACGTCAGGTTTGCGTATCATATGACCTTAGGTCACCCATAAATAGACCTGTCAAGGTTAACTACAACTGCGGCACTTTTGACTTTGACAAACAAGGTAGGGTTCCAGGGTTAGTCACAGCTAAATTCTATTTTCGTATTCTAAGAGATTTTTATTGTATAACATTTAATAACATGGCTAATATTAATGCTTGGTCTGCCCTCTAAGTATTTTATCGCGGATTGGTGCTTACTTACCTTTGCTGACATCCGGATGACGTCTTGTTGACGTCTGCATAACAGTTCCGAGATTCCGACAGCCATTCCGACGGAATATTCCAAGATTGTAATGATTCGAGCATACAAGTAACAGTGACAGTTATCACAAGTCGCAAGTGATTTGTCGTCGTATAAAATATTACAGTTCCTATATTTTATACATCCTATATTTATTTGTCATCGTCATGTCATTGTCATCGCGATCCAGAGGGTCCGAGGTCGTTCCGACCGGATTGTGTAAATTATCAAGTTGCGTGATAATGCTGCCACAGCCAAGTGTTTTTATCTACCGATGTTTACAGGGATCGTTCAAGAATCAATCTTATATAAATAATTCCAAGCTTTAATTAGGATTTGACTCCATATGATTGATGAAATTCTGGGGTAGAATATGTCTTCAGCATCCAATGCTTGCCATAAGAAGCGACTGTGCTTGTCGTAAGAGGCGACTAACGGGATCGGGTGGTCAGGTTCGCTGACTTGGTTGATGCATGTAATCGTTTCCCAATTGCGTGGATCGATGCTCATGGTGTCAATCACCGGTTTGTCCGGTCCAGACTCGATCATTTACAGACCGCCGTCATAAACGGCGTTAAACAACAAACAAACAAACAAAATCATGCTTACTTATATCTTATGTTGACAGCTCTGGGTCACGCGACTTCCGGAATGTATTCATTACATTACATGGATCCAGTTCTGGTTTCAGCCAACTTCTTACACTTTCAAGTTTCAAAGTTTATTGTACAATTTCATTATTTTAACAGTTCAGATATGTCAGTCGTGGGAGGGATACAGACAAGTACCGGATTCTAGAGTCACGATGTGACAGACAATGCCGAGCGAGGGATGTTTCACAGCCGCTATCGTATCTCGCGATCTCGAGACCATGTACAAGATTTTTAAGTTCAGTGATTACATAATAAACTCCTTATTGAACTTTACCTACTTGTTGTGTGATCCTTCTGCATTTCGCCAGTTTCGACATTCGTAACTTTGTAGATCCGTGTTATATATTTTCGCTGACCCTCGTCTCCAAGCTCTGGTATATATTTTGTCACATTCCGTGACTGGTGGCAGCAACCATTTATGTTAGTAGTTTACCAACAAGTAATTATCATCTTTGGCCCTTCCGTTACAATATCAATCTGAATCAAGGACGCCGCCATAGTTCAATAATATTGCTGAGTGCGTCTTTGAAATATAAACAAAGGTACAACCAAAAACACTTCGCATGTGGTCGAAATCCCCGCCCAGAGACTCCACGTCAAGCAGATGAAGCCGACCAGTCGTTATGCAAGAGCAGATTAGACTGAGGATCGGATGGTTACATTGTTGGGTCTCCACTAAAACAATAACTCCATGTTTTCCATGATGTAGTTATCTCTCACAAACCCCATGTATCATGAAATTCGAGGTTGAAATGGGACATTTGTACTCCCAACCATCACTCCTGCGTGTAAACATAATACTCTTGCTGTCAGTTTCTGAACGATTATTATAAAAGTTCAAAAAGTTCGATGTAGTGTGACCCCACACTTCCGCCAAACTTGTTTGACTATTAGAGATACTATATATTGATGTGAAATGGAAAAACTCTGAAAAACTTAATTACATTCTTTGTCCGAAATCTAACCCAAGTTAGATTCCTTCGACGGCCTTTGATACTTTGATATCTGGTATTTGTTTATGACTTCATACGAGTGAGTGAAGTCTTTATGCTATTTAAGCAAATTACCTCCCTGACATACTGAATTTGATAGACACGGTCTCTTCACTGGGCACAGAAGCCTATTCCGGTCGGAACTAGGTCAGGTCGCATTCGGCTTGTGATGAAGGGTATTTCTCCCTATCATTATTGTGGTAAACGTTCTAACAAATGTATTGCATTTCATGGTTTAAATAAAAATATACTGAACGAACAACGTATGTGAAGTCAAAATATGACATGTTATAAACAATATTTTGCTGAATAAAAATGCATGTACTTTCTATTCAATCAACCATAAGTCCCAGAGACTTTTAAAAAAACATGACCACCGTGGAATATACATAAGATAAAAGTACATACATACATACACATGTACATATATTCATATATACATATGGGACACGCCTTAAAAGAGGGACGGTGTAACAAAACGATCAGTTAATAGTGTCAATATTAGGTGTGACAACCATTAGCGTTCGTACAGGCGAGACAGCGGCGGCGCATTGAAGACACATGCGATTTTACCAACTGAGCCAGCGTTAAAGGATGGTTCTGGTACTTTCGTTGGCGTCGTTTTATCTCATTCCAGACGTGTGGGAGAGGTCTGGCAGTACAGCAACAGCACGTGGGCGGGCATTATCCTGCTTCGATATTACATGAGTGAGTGAGTGAGTTGGGTTTAACGCCGCTTTTAACAGTATTCCAGTTATATCGCGGCGTCGATATTACATGAATATATACAAATAAAATAATGCTCATTTGTATATCACATACATGTCCTCGAATGATCATTCACACATCATAATGCACCCACATTGTTATTTACAATGTATAACAATAAATCATAAGTAAATTCAATATAGTGTACATGGGAACACACCAGTTCTTATACTATATAGGTATGCATGAGTAGAAATAAATAAGTTATTTATTTCATAGTTTTGTCAAAACGCTTAGAGTAAGCAAATTAATCGCTTATCCCGGGGTCTGCAATAGCCCGAAGTGCTTTACGCACTCTTCCAAATGGCGGCGCGACTACCGCTTGGTTGCTTTGCCCAAAAGAAGCACGTAATGGAAGAGGCTCTGTATGATTATTGAGGACTTCTTTGAATGTGTGGAGCAGACTGGTTATGCTGGGGTGTTAGCTGCCCAGTTGATCCAGTCAAGACTTATCATGTTACTCTCTCAACATAAACACACATTTCAGTCAGCCGCCATTTTGGTTTGAGAACGAAGCAATTGGTGCGATTGCAAGCGGCTGAAAGTTAGCGCACCGATGCAAGGCGAATCGCTGTTTGTTGTTCACCTGCTAAATTGCCGGGCTATAATTGAAAATTACCTGATAGGTGAGCCAAAGTCACCATTCACCTACATCAAGGTTGGAATGCATGTGATTTCATATTCAGCGATTTCTAATGATTTGTTGAGCAATCAATTATGCAAAAATGGCGACGGCAATAATTAGTGTTGTTTTTTATGATAATTGGTGAAGTGCAATCAATGACGGGCGAGTTTAATAACTTATAATAGATCAACATTATTCAATTTCCAATTCTGCACCACCTTTAAGTGTGTGGGTACACGCCCTGTGAGACGCACCACTTCATGATCCACCAACCACGTCGAAGGATGGCACTCGAAATATAACCTCAACATTAACATCGCCCCACGAGAACATTTTCAAACTCACCCTGTGATGAGGTGAAAACGGCGCCCACGACAGGACCAGAACCAGCCGGAAAAGCTAGTTCAGTTGGGCCAATCTTTGGTTGACATTTGAACACCCCCAGCCTGTTTTCAATCATCTGGTAGATTCAATGTGCCGCTGCAGCTTCGCCCGTATCAACATAAATGTTGGCCACACCCGATATTAACATGTGTTTATCAAGTTGTTACACGCCTCCTTTTAGGGCGTGTCTCGGAAGGTTCAGGCTCGCTGACTTGGTTGATGCGTGTCATTGATCCCAATTGCGTGGATCGATGCTCATGATATTAATCACTGGATTGTCTGGTCCAGACTAGATTATTTATAGACGGCCGTCATATAGCTGGAATATTGCTGAGCGCGGCGTTAAACAACAAACCAACAACAAACTCTGTCTCCTGTTACCAGGTATTTTGTCAATGAATGTTTTATCAAACATTGACCAGATGAATGCCCAGTGATTATGTTGTTATGTACAATGACATTTACACCACTTTACACTTCACATTTCTTTTCTTCCGTTAGTGTATATCTATTAGGATATTTACAATTGATAACATTCCTTTTTTAATAGTGATTGTGGGGCTCTGTATGTAGGCTCTCCAGTGTGGGGTTCTATATGCAGGTTCTCTGTATGTAGGTGCTCCAATGTTGGGCTGTGTGAAGGCCCTCCAGTGTGGGTCTTTGTAAGTAGGTTCGTGGGTGGGGCTTTACGTTTAGGTGTTCTTGTGTGGGACTTTACTTCTAGGTGTTCAGTGTGGGGCTCTGTACGTAGGTGTTCCACTGTGGGGCTCTGTATGTAGGTTCTGGGGTGTGGCTTTAAGTTTCGATGTTCCGTTCCGGCTATATGTAGATTATCCGGGGTTGGGGCGGTATATGTAGGTGCATCAATTTTGGGCTGTGTGTGTAGGCCCTTCAGTGTGGGGCTCTATATGTAGGTGCTTCAATGTTGGGCTGTGTGTGCAGGCTCTTCAGTGTGGGGCTCTATATGTAGGTGCTTCAATGTTGGGCTGTGTATGTTGGCCCTCCAGTGTGGGGCTCTGTACGTAGGAGTTCCAGTGAGGGGCTCTTTATGGGGCTTAATGTATATTCTCCGGTGTGGGGCGGTATATGTAGGTGTTCCAGTGCGGGTCACAATATTCATATCTCCAAACTTGGGTTTTCAATCATTGCGCTCTTCATGTAGATTCTCCAGGCTGTTTCCCATGTAAGGGTTCTTCAGCTAGGAAAACATTCATAGGCCTATGGTCTGTCTGCTTAAAATGTAAACTTCCACAAAATAAAGCAACAATTTCAGAGACAATAAATTATTTTATTAACAAGTCAGCTAAAAAAGCAACAAGAATATAAAAGATGATCTCATGTTGTTTTTTCTGTCACTAAACTTGAAATATAAATCTGACTATTTCTAACTGTCCATAATTCACAAATGCTTACAACCAGTTATCAACAATTACCCCATAAAACAAGTAACCACATACATAACATAGAAATGTATTTTGTTCAAGAGATGGCAGTAATGGACAATGTGTTCATTTCATGCGCACATAACCATGAATGATTGACAGCTGAGAATAAAATGCGTCTTGCAATTCCCTCCCTCTAAGCCCAAAGAAAAGACAAAAAATTAAATGACAATAAAATGTAAAAAGATGAAAAATTGTGCCATGAGAGAAGAGAAGTCCATTTTTAAATGGAGGCGATGAAGTGCTCAGTCTAACAGATGAATGTTTTTTTAAATGAGTTTCATCATTAATGTTTATAGCACCGTTGCCGGGTTGAAAGTTGTGATAAGAAGTCACAAAGCTAAAATGGCAAAAAGAGACTGATGAAGATGTCCGTAGCTTTCAGCTTATGATAAAACAAAGTAGTTGTTCAAATGCTGTTTGGTGTTGAATTCACGGCAGGCTAAAACAGATCTCTGAAACAGAAACGGTAAGATCATGTTTTATGGATTGGCAACATACACCAATTTGATTACCCCTTTATTGTATAGACTGACGTTGTTCATTCGTAGTCATTGTCTCAACAATTTAAAACTGTCATAAATGTACAGCATATTCTATATTCTCCACCCACCTTTACT